AAACTCTAATTAGTCTTCTCTCCAAAACCCCTAACCTATATAATCTCCTTGTCGTTCTCTCTTCTTTTTTTTTTAATTTTCCTTTAATAAAATTATACATGCATAATTATAATTACACACACAAACACAAACACACGCACTACACAGACACATACTTACACACATGGACTGCTCGCACACACACACATATTGTTAATGAAATATAATTTATTGTATTTTTTTAATATTATTTGATTATTTATTAGTTATTGTTACTTTTTAGCAGATGTTATTGTTCACTTATTATGTTATTCAATTTGTTATTGTTCAGTTATTGTGTTATTCAGATGTTATTTATTTATTTTGATCAAATATTTGTTAAATGTAGACTACAATATAATAATAATGATTATGATTTATGTTATGACTTATTTTATGAATATTTTCAAATTAAAGAGTGAAAGGGTAAAACTGAAAATTGATTTATTTTCAGACGTTAACTCTGTGTATTTGTTAAATAGTTTAGTTTAATTCAGTACTTAAATTTCAGTGAATACCAAACAGTCCAAAAATTTAGACTTCAGTTTTCAGCTTTCAGAATTCAAATTTCAGACTTCGGTTTTCAGTTTTATCAATCACCACCTTATTTATTTTTTATTGGAGATTAGCATCGGTTTGGTTTTTTTTTTCTTATTTTGAGAACTATAGGTTAGGTTTTCATACTGTAGTGATTTATTTTTTGCATGAATAATAGCTTGAAGGTTTTATTTATGAATTGTATATTTGTACTTTTTGTTTGTTTGGAAGTGGTGATTGTGATTAAGCTTGGTTTTGACTTTTTTTTTTTTTGTGCAATTGGTATTACTTGTTTTTTTTTATTGGTGATTAAATTTATATTTTTTTGGGGTCAAATTTTACTATTAGAAATTCAACTAACTTACAAAAGAATGTCTATAACCTGAAATTTTTTTGGGTTGTATCAGATAGGCATGTGTGAGAGACAGATAGAGAGATAACAAAGAGTGGAAGAGTGTGTATTTAAACTTTAAAACGTTTGAGAGATGAGAGTATAATAGAGAGAAAAAAAAAAGAGTTATATGAGAAATGACAATCTTAGAGTTGTAAAAGGAATGAAAATCTTCTTCAAAAAGTTGGGTTATCAATTAAGGCTATCAAATGAATAATCTTAAAACGATCTCAGCCACAAAAAGCTAAAGACAAATAATGCTAGCTTCCTTATATAGAAAGAGAGTTATATGAGAGATAAGAGACTTAGAGTTGTTAAAAGAATGAAGTTTTCCTCAAAAAGTTGAATGATCAATTAGGGTCGTCAGATAAATAATCTTAAAGCGATCTCAAACACGAAAAACTAAAAATAAACAATATTTACTTCCTTATTATATAGATCTTGAGGAGTTTGTTATTTTTCCATCTAATGTGGTGATAATCTAGATGGGAAAAGAAATATGTGAAATTAAATTGACTCACAATTACATTGGGTCATGGTTTGGCCCAACCCCCCTCGTGTTATTCCAAAGCCATCTCGACAATGGTTTTTGAGCTGTTAAGCCCAATGGGGTTGGCCTTATTAACACAGAAAATTGTGGGCAGGTATTTTTTAAATTACTTAATTGTGAGAAAATACATTGATTAAAATCTTTTATAGATAAGTACAATTGACTTGAAATATATTGTAGTTAGGTTTTTATTGGTAGATTTTCAAATATTTTCTTCACTAAAATACCATTTTCTTTATTTGAAGGGCTGTTAGTTTAGCAGTTCTATTTTTTATAGGGATTTGATTTATTATATTAATGATTTCATGTTTTAAGGGATTGAACATATTTGAAATTCAAAATTATTCCACATGGAATATGCCTTAACGGCTTGACCCAGATTTTGAAATTCATTTTTTTTATGTTATGTTTTAATGTTAAACAGCTCTGGTTGTTCTCAAATCTAACAACAGTGTAACACTATCATTCATTAAAAGTAATATATATGAATGTCACATTATGTGATGCATACTATTTAAATTTTGTATAAATTACTAAATTTAATTTTACAACAGTGTCAATGAAGATGTTATATTGTCATGTATCACTGTAATGTCACATTTTCGACAATTTAAATCGGAACAGAAGGAAGACCAGTATTTAACGATACTTCAACGTTTGTGTTTTTCTTTTTTTTTGGTTGAAAATTGAAGAATTTTGCAGCATTTTTTTTTTTTAAATTTGAAACCCATGTTTTGAGGGATAACACTTGCTGAATTTTAATGAGATTGTTGCATGATTTATGGTAGTTTTCTTATTCACTCTTTGTGCCATATAATTGTTACCTTGTGGCATTTTTGTCATAAAAGAAAAAGTACTTTTATACAAAAATATTTGCACCGGGTACTTTTCCACAATTAAATGATAAATTAAGTACCATTTTGGAAACATAATAAAAAAATAAAAAATTTAAGAATTATTTTTCTAAAATATTTGTCAAAATATACTAAAATATCTTGGAACATTCTAAAAAAATTGTTCAAATACATTGAAGAATTACAAAATACTTTAAAACATTATGAAACACCTCGAAATATTAAAATTTCGATTTTATAACTGATTTGTTTTGGTCTCCTTAGAAAAACGTTTCACATGTTTTGACCATTTTAAAATAAAATTTTGATCTTTAGTTCCAAGGGTCAAGAGCAAGGATGGAGCCAAAAATTTTGTTTAGGGTGGACACTTTAATTACACACTCTAATTTTTTTTTTCTTCCTAACCAATCACTCTATATAATATATTTATATTTATCATGTCATATTGATACATGAAATCCATTTGATATAAATAAGGCCAAAAAATAATGTATATTGTATATGTATAAAAAATGACTAATTTTCACAATTGTAAAAAAGTGAAGCTAATTATTATTTTTATAATTAAAAAATATTAATTATTCACTAACAATTTATTTAATTTATTCAATAAACGATCTTTCAAGCATTATCACTGAGATATTAGTATAATAAAACTATTAAACTAAAATTTAAGAGTTAAATAAAGTAAAAAACTTGAAAATCGATTGTAACATAATAAAGACTATAATCAATACTCGAATAGAAATAGAGACGATTTCTCGTAGAAAAAATAAAAGTTAAATGAAGGTTAATTATAAGAACTTTTCACTTGCAAAAAAATCATAAATAATAAAATTAAGGTGATCTGGAGAAAGCCTTAATATAATAAAAAAGATTAAACTATTGAAATTAGAAAATCGCAGGGTGGACACAAATAAAAAATAAATATATATAATTTTTTAGAATATATAAATATAAGTATACGTATAATAATTTTTTTTTTAAAAATTGAGGGTGGACATTCGCTCTTGTGTAGCTCTACCCTTGATCAAGAGAAATGTTATATTTATTCGTCCTTTATACGATCCCCCAACTTGTTAAAATTCATAAATGAAAAAAAAAAAAAAAAGTAATTGATCAAACTCTAAAAGGAGAATAGAAAAAATTGAGGTAAACAAGCATAAAGGTTACAAGCCATTGAATCACCATTTTTTTTGAGGAGACCACCTCAATCCATTCACCAATCAATGACCTAAAGGTCGGTCAAATGGACAAGGTATAAACCGAAAATATTATTTGAATTTAATTTGGGATTTAGGGTCATAATTAATTGTGACAGAGCTCAATTTAATCTTAAAATTCATAATTAAGGGTTTTTTTGGTGACCAGTCCAATTTAAGAATTTTTTTTTTTCAGAAGTCTAATAAGCATTCGTTAGGGTGTTAAAGAACAATTGAAGTCGTAAAAACTAATTTATTCTTAATGACATAATTAGTGACATTAAAAAATGGACAATAACATTAAAATTTCACTCTCCAATGTCAACCTTAAAAAAGATTATAAACTCATGGAATTGTTAGGAGTTACTGTAGTTTTCAAAGGCTCCAAATCAAATGGACCCCTAAACTAAGCCTATGCCTAGAATCCAATTAAGCAAGCTACTCTTCAGCCAATCCTCAAAGGATGCCACTCCTCTAACACGTGCCTTCTTCTCTACCAAATAAGTATAATAAATAAGTAGATGAATTCCACGTATTCTAATAAAACATTTTGTCATGTCATTTAATAAACATCAACCAACTTGATCATGGTGAGAATCCTCTTATTGTAAATGCGTTAGCAGCCAAAATTGCTATCAAGTGAGCACATTCAAAGGGATAAAATTATGTTACAATTGAAGGGGATTCACAAGTTGTAGTCCTTGCAACTATGATCCCACAATTTAGGATCCCTTGCTCCATCACCAACATTATAGCAGATATCAAACATCTACTAGCACTCTATCTTGGGATTTAAACAAAGCTGCCCATGCCCTGGCCAAGTGGGGATTATCTGTCAAGAAAGATGGAATCTTCAACGAAACAAAAATCTCATAACTAATAAGGTTATTCGAGTTAATTTATGCGTATATTGATTAATCCTCTTTTCGAATCAATTATAAACAGACTATCCATGTCAGAATTAAAATATTTATAATAGATGAATTCCTAATGAGTAAACCCAAAAGATTGCAAAGATTTGAATATAATTCATGTATGTTATTACTTAAGTTGACTTTGTATTTGCACTATCTAAATTCATTGACGAATCAAAAACCTAAATACTGACCCGACCCATTTACAATGGCGGTCCGAGTGGGCCCAGCCCGATGCCAACCTTTGATCCATTTGATCATTTTTTAGGGATTGAGATTGTGGTGCTTCCACGTGTCCATACTAATCACCATGGTGAGTTGTGCTCACACTAGAAATCTAGAACCTTCTTTCAAAAAGAAACCCTAATAAATTATATTTCCAATTGCTACAGTGAACTAACGAGGTTCTAGCATTTTCTACGTCCATCTGGAACTCCAATTGAAAAAGGCCCTCTCTCTCCCTCTCTCGTCTCAAGTCTCAGGTGCAAAGCTTTATTCTCCGTCAAGTTTAGCAGTGGGAGGAGAGAGAGAAAAATGGCGGACGAAGTGGCTTTGGATTTGGAGGAACTTCGCCACCTCCAAAGCATTGCAAAGAGATCCAGAATCATTTCTTTGATTTCCTCTGAGATTCGAAGCTTGGAAAAGGTTTTATGCTTCACTTCTTCAGAATATGTGTGCGTATGTGTGTGTTCTTTATTCGATGTTCTTGAATGTTTGACATTTTGAATGTTTTGTTTGTGAAATTTTGTTGTTTCACGGTTCATTTTTTGGCCTACGTGAAGTGTTTATATTGATTATTTGTTTGAATGGATAGATAGGGATTGAGATTTGGCTTTTCAAGTTAAGGTGGTCATTTTTAGTCCTGGCTACAACTTTCATGATCTAATTTTCGATTTTTGTGAGGATGATGGTATTGGTTATTTGTAATAAATAGATGGGTAGGGTTAAAGGTTTGATTTTTCAATTGAAAATTCAGTCATTTTCGAAGCATGAATAAAATGATACTGGAGTTATTGTTTCCAAACAAAGGAAGCTTCGGACATTGTGGTACTAGAAGATATTTCCTCTAAGAGGAAAAAGAACCCCAGACTATATTTGCCCCAAGGTTCCCCTTTAAGATTGAAATCCAAAGGATGGCTTGATCTTGGATGGCATATTAGGTTTATTACCTTGTTTACCCGAAGAAGGACCCATCATAATTGTAGTTGAACACCTGCAAATAGGAAATGAGAGTAAAATATATATGTTGCATGCATTGGATTAGAATGAACATTTACTATGAATTTGTAGAAAAGTTCTACTCTGTGGTCTACAAATCAGGAAAGCTATAGAAAATGTCTCTTTCATACCCAAATTGAGCTTACCCATTTGAACAAAATAACAGGCTGGAAATGTCTTAATTCAATCTTCTTCTGCCACTCTTTTTTGCTTTATTTTGGAACGAAAAATTAGAAAGTAATAGATAGTTGTATTTCATGAGCATAAGAGAGAGAAAGATGGTCTTCATAAATTTGAGTTATTTTCTAACTTAATAAATTTTGTTTTAGAGTAAGCAACTAATCATGTAAAAAAAATAATGTATGTGATTTCCATAATGCTATGTGTGTTTGAGAGCATAAAAACATTTGTCAAATGAACAATTATAAAAAAATGAAGGATGAATTGGTAATTCATGTTACACACCACCAATTTCAGAGGAGTTTTTTTCTTGTTTTTTTTGTTGGGAAGAAGTTGATAAGTTCTGGAGAAATGCATCCAATGTACAAAAATATTTTCCCAACTACTTTTCAAGTTCCTTCTAACTCAGTCATGAATTTCTTGAGAAATTCTCATTATTATCTCTTTTCAAGGGAGACCACAGGAAGCATCAAATTTTGAGATAATATTTCAGTCTTTGGAATAAGTTGGTCACTTCCAGGAAAGTCCATCCGATGCAAGAAAGTTGCTTTTACAATTTTGATCCATTCCTTTTTTTGACAAAATCATGGATAAATTAAACTTTTCTAGTTCCCTGCATTTTCCATCCAACTTAACAACGGTTCCTCTATTATAAAGAAAAATTGATGGAAAGGAAAGTAAAAGAAATAAAGCAAAAGGAAAATATACTTGCTTGCATGTATTTGGTTAGAATGACAATTGATGAATAAGAAAGAATTGAGGTTGCAATTTTTTTATATAATTGTTTAAACTACCCTTATCTTGCATGGCATGCACGTTGAACCTATCCATTGGTGGTGGAAAATAATTGAAATTACCACCTTCCTGACCATTTATGGTTAAATTTATCCAAAGGTCCAGTCAAACAACCAAAACTCAACACTAAACTCAGCACTGAGTATCCTAAACCCCCGCCAAGATAAACCTTTCTTCTCCAATACCGGCCAATTTGTCAACTCACTCTCAATCCATCCAAATCCCACCAATCACCCCACCTATTCACTCTTTAGTTCTTTTTATTCGTTCTTTTTCTTGTTGTCTTGCATTCGGGCACTTTAAAAGAGAGATTTTGGGGTTTTGTGTTTTCTCTCTTGAGTCCATGGCAATTGATTTGTTGAGTTTTTTCAATATGGGTTTTGAATTGAGACAGATTCTAGAGATTGTGAGTTTGAAACAATGGGTATGTTGTTTTGATTTGCTTGAGTTGACTTTGGCCTATGTTTTGGGGATTTGAGCTAGAATTAGTGTGTGATTCTTGAGTTGAATATTCAATTTCGATGCCAAATCCTTGGTTTTGGGTTAATCATGTAGTGTTTTGGGAAAGGCTTTGATCATTTGAAGTGGGTTTTGTGAGATGAAAGATAAAGTAATTGAAATTGTCCACAAACACGATAAAGATAGGAAGCCAGATAATGGCTTGCATTGTCCTCTGAAATAGAAAATTGCATGGGTTTGTGGGAGACTGACGTGGGTAGTTTACGAGAAAATATGATTGGTCCATAATCTTGTTTCCTGCATTTTCTGTCATGTTTACCGCTAAACAAACCAAGGGTGGAAGTCCAACTTGGCCATCCCCGATCCGATACTGCTACACGGTACGCGAATAACACAAGACTCAAGTGAATCGGCGTTGACTCAATCATGACTTAGAGATGTCGGTTGAAATTAGAGTCGAAACGTTTGAGTCGGACCGAGTTTGACCGAGTCATCAACACAACATATCAATGTAAAAAACCAAAAAAAAAAAAGAGAGAAGGGGAGGAGAAGAAGACCAATTCCACTTGCAAATTCATAGACCCAAAGATGCAAAAACTAAAGTAGAAGAAATCAACAAACCCTAAAACATAAATTAAAAGGATTTGTAGAAAACCTCTAGATCTTGTACATACAGCAAACCAGCTCCAGTCCAGTCCACCCAAAGTCTCCCTATCTGGACCTTTCTCTCTCGTTTTGTGCCTCTCTCTCTTTCTCGCTCTCTCGTTTCGCTCTCTCTCTCTCTCTCTGTTTCGTTCATCGTTGCTCGAGTAAGAGCGACCGAGTGAGAGGTGAGAATTTATTCTCACTTTATTTTATACTTGGGTATGTTTGTTTCCTTTTTTTTTTGGTTTAGTCAGAAAAGTTATATTATATTAATTACAGTTACATCCCCTCTTTTTTCTTTCTCTCCGTCAAACGATAAAATGACTCAAATATATTTTATTTTTTTGGTTTTTTTTGTCCCCAAGGGTCCAAAATGCTTGTTCAAATTGAGAGCAAAATATTGCACATGTGTCAAATGTTTTTGCATGTGTTTCCATTGCACATTGCACATAAATGATGAAAAATGTTTTTTGGTAGTGCCCTTCTTTTTTTTTTTTGTAATGATTAATGTGGTAAATAATATATTTTTGGGATATGATGCATGGATGATAATATTTACATTTATTACAATTTTTCTTGATTTTTTCAAAAAATTAAGCCTTCTACGTAGCATTTTGAGCGTATCGGCCAATACGGCGCCGCGACACCGCGACCAATGTGTCTCAGTTGCCTCCGAGTCAATGTCTGATACCACGACTTTGAACCATGAAACAAACACCTTTTCCCGCGCCCCACCACACTCTTTCAAAACCAACAAATCCCAAAAGAAACATAATGAAAAATTTAATTCTTTGCATAATAGGTTAATTGTAATGGCAAGGTTAGCAATATAGAAACACATTATTATACTGGAATATACCATTGTTCTTGATCAAAAAAAAAAAAAAAATCTCAATTGTTTAAACGCAAACCACAATAATCGGATGATTTTGAGTTCTTGATGTTTATTGTAAGCCATTACTAATATGCTCTTGCTTTCTTCATTCAGCAAGCAATAGAGGCTGTGCCCTCACTGACCTCACAAACTCCGACACCAATTTCAACTACTGCCAAGGTGGTCTCTAATGCAGCATTGAATTATGTAACACTCGGATCTTTCAGCTGGGATCAAGACAATGACAAAGTCAAGGTAAGTGCGTCTATTTTGTGAGTGTAACCTATGATGTTAAAAAAGATATATTTTCTCACATTCGGTGTTGAAAGAATCAAGATAAGGCTGTCTAGGGGATACATGGACACAATGATGGTCCATCACGTGGTGCCACTGATATGAAATGATGTGCCCTGTGCACGAAATTTAATAAAGTGATTTCCGAGACACTAATCATCTGTGTATCTCATGCTTTGTAATACTTTTGAGAAAGTATTCTCCTTATATTGATGGAATGTCAGTGTTTGTCCCTATTAGTGTTGTAAAGTTTACTAATTTGTGTGAACAGAGTAACTGTCCTTGTTATATGATTGGTTGTGTCAATCATGTTTTTGTGAGGCAATTTCAGCGGCTATGGTGTAATTTTTCTTGAGTAGGTTTTCCTATTTCTTAATGTAATTTTGTTTGATAACCTTGTCTCCTTTATCCAGATTTATGTCTCTTTAGAGGGTGTCAATCAGGAGAAAATTGAGGCTGAGTTCAAGCCAATGTCTTTTGATGTCAAATTTCATGATATCCAAGGAAAGAACTATCGCTGTGCAACACCGAAGCTGAACAAGGAAATTGTACCTGAGAAATGTAAGGTGATAGTTAAGCCTTCAAAGGTCATCATCACGTTATTTAAAGCATCCAAGGGGAACTGGTTGGATTTGCACTTTAAAGAGGATAAGGTAATTGCCTCCTGTATACTGACTAGTTGATTTAGATTTTTGCATAAAACAATTGGCATCTAACCACGAAATATCTCTGGTGCTGCAGTTGAAGCCAAATATGGACAAGGAGCGAGATCCCATGGCAGGAATTATGGATTTGATGAAGGTAAATGTTTTAGTGTTTTAAGGTCACCCAACTTGTTAGCTTTTAATTTATCTGTCTTTTTGAATATTTTCTCTTTTTCAATTGTCTCTCTAATATGTGATATGCAGAATATGTATGACGAAGGAGATGATGAAATGAAGAAAACAATCGCCAAAGCATGGACTGATGCTCGATCTGGCAAAGGAGCTGACCCTTTGAAAGGCTATCGTTGAAGTCACATAGTTGGAGATGAATCCTTGAAACCTGAACCCTGTTTGATTTCAGTTGAAAATTTTGTTCAAAAACTTGCTGGCCCGCTCATATGTGAATGTTTTGGTGTCGTTTTGTTCAAAGCTGTAGGCTGTTGATGACTGGATTTTCAATTGCACTTCTTGTGAACATATATATATTCATGGGTTTTTACGGGTGGATGGCATGGTATTTCTTTTTTGAATCTGGCAGCATGACATAAGATAGGCCTGTTGTTTAGTTCAAAGACGTAGGAAGTTCATATCCACATGGTTAATTGCAGTTGTGATGATGAATGTATCTATTCATATGGCTTGCCTGAATATCCATTGTTGTCAATGAGTAGGAAGTGGGTGTGGTAATGCTCAGGAAAGTATGGTTGCACGATATACATCGAGATAGAATGGTTAGGCAACTCACTTGGAGCCCCATAATATTAGGTTTCGTTTGTTAGTTGTAAGGTTCCCTTTGTGACATGGTGTCAGACCATAGCGGAAATGGGCGTGTCTTAGTGGCACTTTGCACTAAGGTACTCTGTGATTTTGAAGTAACGGGAAGTAGTTAAGGTGTTGAACAAAATTTTCAGTCGTTATGCATCATGCTTTCGTCGTTGTGTTTTCACAATTTAGATGATTTTCACTTATGTCATTTTGAAAACCTTTTAGGTGCAGTAGGCAATGTGCCCCTAAGCTTTGGCACTGTTGGACATAGGCATTACTTTCGTTTCGTGTCGATGTGTCGAAAATCTGAAACGTTTCATACATTTTGGGCATTTTAACACAATATTTCGATTCTTGGTTGTGGGCAGTTACTAAGTCAGGTACTAAATTGGAGGAACCGCCAATCACCTGATAGACAAAGACACAGTCTGGCATGAAATTGTTTCTAAAAACTGCCATGTCCATGCAACTAACTGGTTAGTAGGCCAATAAACCCTAGGTAGTTAGGGGTGTCAATTGCCAGGGTACTTTGTAGGTAGAGAGAGTCCTTGGTCGGATTTGTGAGTTAGTATTGTTTGAGCAAAGGTTGGAGAGTGTTTGCCCTTTACTTTTGTGTGTGCGCGCGCGCATGTGTGTGTGTGTGCACCCTTTTATGAGTTAAGTGGCTGTTTGTTCAGACAACGCCTTCACAGGTAGTCTTCTTTGTGAAAAAAAGTTGCAAAACGAGAGTTACCCTTTAACATTTTGAGATCAAAGTGTGGTCTTGAAGGAAAGATCGATCCATGACTGGTGGAATCAGTGCCGATTTGAGGGAAATGGTGACTCATTTGGAGGACTTCATTGGTCCCTATAATTTTTTTTGATGATGTTGTGTCTCTCTTTGTGCAAGCTCGAGTTGTTCTACCAAAAGTTCGAAGAAGTGCGAGTGTCCCAATAACAACTCCAAAAGGCTGAAGTTGATCATTTCAGCAAGGCAAACACTAGGATCATTGACGTTTTTGCCATTGTTTCTTCATTGACCAATGGTTTGGGGGAGAAAATCGTTGGACTCCAGATAGATGTGGTATGGTAACTAACTGACATAAAATAAGGCAAAAACAAATATTCCTTTTCTACACGGTATTCATTTAGATTAGCCATAAAACCACCCCCTATTCCACACGTTTAGCTACAAATCTGTCGGAGTGCGGTTCTTAAAGGAAGAAACAAAGTTCACTAAACAAGATTTTTCTTTTGGGTACATATCTTCGTTCATCAAACATTTTTTTTTTGGGTGCATTTCTTTCTGGAATGTTGTGTTCGTATATTGAGTCCATGTGTAAACAATATTGGACTAGTGTGCTAAGACTTCCACTAAAATTTACAGAGTGAAAAATTTACGAATTGAAGGACTATGTTGTAAACGCGCACAAATCATCTTTGTTTATGACTACACGATATGACGAACAATTTAAATATTTTAGACAATGTATGTTTTGTTAAACTAAACAATGTTGACAAAAAACACCAAGTGAGGTGGTCCCTCCTATGCCACTACCATCTTCCCGATCTTGTCAATTTGTTACAAACAAGCTTATAAGAAAAGAACTTGATTATTAACACTTCAGAAGGTTAGTTACATGCTGGATTGAATGATGACTAAAGAAGGGTTTTTAACAATATAATTGTTGTTTCGAGAGGGAGAAATGAAGTGAATTTTTTCTCACGATTACACACATGGAACACACGACCTAGAGGGGGTGAATGGATTTTTCGACTTCAAATTAAAATGTAACTCTACCAAAATTACCTTTTCTCACAATGATTGGTCAAGTAATTAAGTGAAAATTCCATTTTAGTCACCATGACTCAAATGGACCCATGAAGATTGGTGTTGTTAATTGTTTAATTAATTCACTCAAACACTCAATCTCACGGTGATCCCAAAATTCAAACGTAGCTATGGATGAAATAGATATCAATCAATTATTCATACAAAGACATAGTGCGTGTGTATGTAAACAATCACAAGTGTATAAGTATAAGCAATAAAGAGCACAAATAATTTGTTAAAGCAAAAAACCCTCCTCGTGAAAAACCGCAAGGAACCATCTTGGTTCACAAAAACCTAATCCACTACCCCAAAGTCAACATACAAGGATCCGAGTCTTATATCTCAATCAATATCATGATTAGATGCTCCCTTCCTTCAATATGTCTATATGCCAAAGGGCCTCCTTCGACTTTATGTGTAGCTTCACTTGGATTCACCTCTGCAAAGGATCCTATAGGTCTCGAGCAATCATGGGCATGCTAACAATCCCCGATATGCACACACCAATAGGTTTAGTTTAAATCATTCAAGATCTTCAACACCTTGGGTCTTGGGTCTTGGGTCTTGGGTCTTGGGTCTTAGGGATCTAGAATTTTGGTGGAAGTACTTTAGGTAGAATATGAGTTTTCTCTCTCAAAAGGCTTTCTAAAGGTTTACCCTAATTGAAGAAAAGATACTCCCTATTTATAGGTCCAGAATAAGGTAATCTTAGTTAACAAGAAAATTTATATTAGTGAACTCGCTCGATCTGTGGGAGGACAATCATAGGGCGATGGTCATTGGAATGAAAATCACGTTTCAAACCGATCTAGAAGAGTAGGTTGCCTGAACAACCCCAGAGGGTGAGCCTTGATCTCCCTCTATTTGGCCTTTTCCCGTTTTCTTCCCTAAGTCATAAAGAGACTGCTTTAACAACAGTTAGCGAGTATAGGACAGTCTCTACTAGTTTTTTAAGCCTAAAATCAAGCAAAAAATTTGTCCTCTTGAGCACTAAAAGGTGTTGCTCAAGAGGGGTTTGCTAATGACTCATACTATGTTTTTAAAATACAAAACGATTTAGAAAATCTTTGCACTTAAAAATAACTAGGAGTCATATATAGAGTAATCCCTACTTCAATTTTATTAAACCAATGGATCATCTTAGGTCTCTAGGTCATACATGTTCCCTAAGTTTAAAGGTGCATATAGAGTGTGAATAATGTAGCTTTGACACTTGATCTCCTCTCTTCAATGATACTTTCAAATCTTCAATCTTTTATAGCATCATGACCTTGAAATAGATAATGTATCTATGGAAGACATTAATATCAAAGTTTAGTTCACCCAAGCAAATATTCCTTCTTAATTTTTTTCGATGTGAATGAAGGAAACAAATATTTATATGCTTTTGGATAATGAGAAAACATCTAAATCTAAAATATTATCTTTGCATGCTATGTGTTGGAGTCTACTTTATTAGGGTTTTGCCTTTACCTTTTTTTACCCTTATTATGACTATTGTTTGGCTATATATACGGGTGCTCTATACTTAGTTTGTATCCCTTTTCACTCACAGATATCTCGAGTTGGTATCAGAGCAAAACCCCAACCCTAACCCTAACCTCCACCATAATCAATTATCACAAACCCACAACCAACCAATGACTCCAGACTAGCCAACCAGCAACCAGCATACTCTAAACCAACTGTCGTCAACCAAACCACCAGCCAACAAACCCAAGTCGCACCAGTTTGCCTACCGCCTTCAGCAGACCACCTTCAGCAAAACCACCTTCAACAATCTATAATGAAACCACACCCATAGAACTAGTCTACCAAACCAGCAACCCTCCCCAGCCAATCACTACCCAGCGAAACCAGCCCAATACTGGTTGTCCCAGTGCCAGTCTACCACGCCTTCATGCTTCGAGCTCTTCGTTCTAGTACTACCATCTCTTCGCGCCATCTAGGACTTTTGTAAGAGGGGTTTGACCCTTTTCTCCATTGATATGCTTTTAACGTAGTAGATCACTTATATATTTACTAGATTTTTGGGCACTGTAACCTGATTATTTGGGAGTTTTCTAGACCTTTTTTATCTGTCACTACTATTTGACTGAAGGTATATTGTTCTCCCGTATTTTGTCTCTTTATTTCTCTTAGAGTATTTTCTATCACAGGTGCCCAAGTTTTGTTGTTAATATAATTACTACTGAGGGACTTGAGACACTTACTATTGAGACCCCTACTGTTAGTACTTCCACTTATAATGTATCGTATGTTTCTCCACTTTTATGTTTGACTAATATACAGTACCTACTAGCACAATAACATTACCGACAATACCAGACATGATCTCTCAAAAGGTTACGACACAATTGTTGAATGATCCTAACTTCGCTAAGTAGTCCCACTCATTTCAGCTTTTCTTAGATCGTGTAAGGAAGCTTAGTTGGTTGATGGGATCTTACTCAAAGCTAGTTGATGACGACTCTAGATGTTCTATATAGCTCTCTGAGAACTGCGCTATTGTTGGATAGTTATTTTGGTTGATAGAGCCATCTGTTTGTAGGATTTATCAGTTTCGTAGTTTTGTTTTGAAGCTATGGAGAAAATTATCATAAATGTATTCCTAGTCAGGACGGGGAGTTTGTGTTTATGAGCTTTCTCAGGAGCTCTCATATGCTCGGTAGGGAGATATGACGGTGCAAGATTATTATGGCTATTTAACTCAACACTGACTTGAGTATGA